AAACCCCAAACCCCAAACCCCAAACCCTAAACCCTAAACCCTCAACCCTCAACCCTAAACCCTAAACCCCAAACCCTAAACCCTAAACCCTCAACCCTAAACCCTTAACCCTCAACCCTAAACCCTACACCCGGAGCCCTAACCTTCCTTCCTCAACCCTAAAACCCTAGAAACCCTAACGCCCTAAACGCCCTAAAACCCTGAAAATCCAACAGCCCTGAACCCTACACCCTAAACCCTAGACCCTAAACCCTCAACCCTCAACCCTCAACCCTCAACCCTCAACCCTAAACCCTAGACCCTAGACCCTAAACCCTAAACCCTAAACCCTAAAATCCCTGCCAAGGCCAAAGCCCCAGAATCTCGGCGGCCTCGTGGGTGGGGAGGCCGGAACTCTCTGGTTTGGCGTTTAAGGTTTAGGGTTTAGGGGTAAGTTTAGGGTTTAGGGTTTAGGGTTTAGGGTCTAGGGTCTAGGATTTAGGATTTAGGGTTTAGGGTTTAGGGTTTAGGGCCAGCAAGCGGCTTCAGGCTTCCTTGGTATCTGAGAGATAGGGTTTTGGGGTTTAGGGTTTAGGGCTTTAGGGTTCCGGGCTTAGAGTTCAGGATAGGTGCATCAAGGGTATTCGGGATGTAGGGTTTAGGGTTTAGGGTCCAGGGTTTAGGGTTTAGGGTTGGGATTTTCCCCCCGATGCCAGCGGTCCATAATGGGGATTATATATTTGGGGGTACGATATCCCTACTAAGGAAGGTTCGTCTAAGTGGAAACATTTCAAGTCTAGGGCTTTTTTGTTTTTTAGGATTTAAGGTTTCAGTGTTGAGGAGAGGTACAGCTCGAACGCCCTATGCCCTGGGCCCTATAAAGTCCCTAAAAACCCGCAGCCCGAAACCCCAAAACCGGAACCCAAAATGATTAACCCTTAACCCTTAACCCTTAACCCTTAGCCCTGAACCCTTAACCCTAACCCACCCCCCTCCCCCAACAAAAAACAAAACATATGCCCCACTGGGCAGGCCGAGTTCGATCCGGTTGGCTTCTCTGACATCATTGACGCAGCTCGCACGCACGCGAGACGGGTATTTCATGTAAGCCCTACAACCCTAAAAACCCTACAACCCTACGATCCTAAAACCCTAAACCCTAAACCCTAAACCCTAAACCCTAAACCCTAAACCCTAAACCCTAAACCCTAAAAACCCTACAACCCTACGATCCTAAAACCCTAAAAGCCTGAAAGCCTGAAAGGCTGAAACCCTAAACCCCAGAATCCTGAGCCCCCCGCACCCCCCCACACCCCCATCCCCCACCTACGCCCCCCGAAAAAAAAAAACAACACCACCCAAACCGTGAACCCTAAACCCTAAACCCTAAACCCTAAACCCTAAACCCTAAACCCTAAACCCTAAACCCTAAACCCTAAACCCTAAACCCTAAACCCTAAACCCTAAACCCTAAACATCTCTACGCCCCTCCCTCGGCCGCGCCCAGATCAAGTGGCTGCGTGAGGCGGAGCTGAAGCACGGCCGTGCCTCGGAGCAGCTAGTAGGGGTTTAGGGTTTAGGGTTTAGGGCTTAGGGTTTAGGGTGTAGGAGCCTAAAAAGCCACATAGACATAAGGATCCTCGGTTTAGGGTTTAGGGTTTAGGGTTTGGGGGTTTAGGGTTTAGGGGACTATTGGGGTAGAAGGGCCCCTTCTGTTTGTAGGATCCTTGTGTTTATGTGGTGTTGGTGCCCTAGCGAGGATTCTGAAACCCCTAAACGCCAAGGCCTAAAGCCCCATGCTTACTTCCCCAAACCCTGACCCCTAAACTCTGCACCTGAAGCCTGAAAGCCTAAAACCCTAAACCGGGGTTTGGGGGTCTAGGGTTTGAAAGTTTTAGGGTTTCAGGATGTCGGCTTGTAGAAGAAGCGCCTATGTCTAACCCGAAGCCCTGTGCCCAGAACCCAAACGTGCAGAACACAACCGGGTTTAGTAAACTCTAAACCCTAAACCCTAAACCCTAAACCCTAAACCCTAAACCCTAAACCCTAAACCCTAAACCCTAACCCCTAAACACTGCCAAAACCGTAAATCCCGCAGCCGCAGCTCCCTACCATTTGGGAGGGCCGATAAGGTTTACAGGGTGGGGAATGCCATCCACAAGCCTCCATCCACAAGCCCCGAACCTTAAGCCCTAACCCCCACACCCTGACCCCTAAACCCCAAGCCCTAAACCCGAAACTCGAAACCCGAAACCCGAAACCCGCAACCCGAAACCCGAAACCCGCAACCCGAAACCCGAAACCCTAAACCCTAAACCCTAAACCCTAAACCCTGACCCTGAACCCCCCCCACCCCCCCCAAAATTCCTCAGGTGTCTGCATGTTGGCCACCATCGGTTTCGTCGCGGAGCAGTACTGGCAGCTGCCTGGCCACTGAGCTGCAACCCTAAACCCTAAACCCTGAACCCTAAACCCTAAACACTAAACCCTAAACCCCTAAACCCCTAAACCCTAAACCCCAAACCCCAAGCCCTAAACCCTAAACCCCCCGGGCTCATTGCACTTTGTCAAAAATCATTGCAAAAAAAATATATATATATATATTCTTTTATAACATTGTCTAAGGGAAGTACAGAAACCCCAAAACCCAAATTCACAGGATCCAGTACTGCTGCAGCCTGTGGGGGGGAGGGGGGAAAGCGGGGTGGGTGGGGGGGGGGGGGCCCTCTTGACCCTAAACCATAAACCCTAAACCCTAAACCCTAAACCCTAGACCCTAAACCCCAAACCCTACCTCAAGAAGTCAAGGCCTACCTCTTTTTGGTAGCTCCTTGTTATGAGCCCTAAACCCTACACCCTAAACCCTAGACCCCAAGGCCTCAGCCCTCAGCCCTAAGCCCTAAGCCCTAAACCCTAAACCCTGAACCCTCAACCCTAAGCCCTCATCCTGATATTCTGAACTGCCGAGCCCCCTATACACCCTGCTTAGAAGCCTCGGGTTCAGCGTTTAGGAGTTTAGGGGTCTTGGGGGGTTAGGGTTTCGGGTTTAGGGTTAGGGATTAGGGTGTAGGGTTTAGGGTGTAAGGTGTAGGGTTTAGGGTTTAGGGTACCCCCTTTCGAACACCCAAACTGCAAACTGGGCCCCAAAGCCACCTTCCTGCCTGCAGGATTCGACGCGGCACCCGATGCCCTGCAGGTGACCGGCTGTGGTTCGAGTTTAGGGTTTAGGGTTTAGGGTTTAGGGTTGAGGGTTGAGGGTTGAGGGTTGAGGGTTGAGGGTTGAGGGTCCTGAAGGTTGTTAGGGTTTGGGGTTTTCAGATTTTGGTTTTTGGTTTTTGGGGGTTTAGGGTCTCAGGGCTTGCAACTGTACTGATGACCCAAACTGTGGCCCTGCTTGTAGTCCAGGGGTTTGGGTCTTGGTACAACCGCTAAACCCTCAAGCCTACCCTAAAACTTAAACCTCTCCTTTACATATACGTATATACATATATAGGTACTTGCGTATGTGTTCGTTTATATTAACCCAGCCGTGCAACCCAACTGCCACCAAGACAAAGATGACCCTAAACCCAAAACCATAAGCCCTAAACCCTAAACCCTAAACCCTAAACCCTAAACCCTAAACCCTAAACCCTAAACCCTAAACTACCTCTTCAAGGCATCATATGGCACCTAGTTCCGGAAGCTCTGCATGCGGGGTGACTTGAGAAAGATTGAACCGTGCAACCTGAACGGATTACTAAGGTACTGGCATATCTTTCAACCATCCCTGATATTCCCAGCACCTAAACCCTAAACCCTGTTTCTCTCTCTCTAGAAGCGGAGGGCCATATTTGCCACCCCGGAGCCCTCGGAAAGGAACACCGGAGCAGAATGGAACAGAACTTGGTTTAGGGTTTAGGGTTTGGGGTTTAGGGTTTAGGGTTTGGGGTTTAGGGTTTAGGGTTTGAGGTTTGGGGTTTAGGGTTTGGGGTTTGGGGTTTAGGGTTAGGTACTTGGGGATTTAAGATACCTAGCTCCCGAAATCCCTATGTCCCTGTTAAGAACTTGCAAGTGAACTGACATTTCCATTCCTGTTCGTCGAGTCTTGTCCAGTGGAAGCGCGAGCATGCGGCCGTTGACCATCCACTGCCTTGCCGGCTCCACGTTTGAGCTCCATGTGGACGATGCGGAAACGGGGCTGGATGTGCGAAGACGTGTCGCAGGAAGTGTTGGCCTTGCCGCAGCGTCAATTGTGCTGACTTCAGGTGGCCGAATCCTCGAACTGCACCAGCCGCTGCTACAACAAACGCAAAACCAAGAACTCACATATGTGGTGCGGAAATATGGCGCAGGCTGCGCGGCACGCAGTATAGAGCGAGCATTAGCAAGGCCAGGATTACCTCAAGACACGGATGCCATGGCTGCTGTTGTTGGGCTTGAACTTCGGCTTTTCTTTCAACCAGAGCTTGGAAGGGGTGCAGCTTCCCAGCGGCCTACGGACCTTGACCTTCGGCGTGGACTTCAACCAAATCTTGGAAGGCGTGCAGCTTCCCAGCGGCCTGCAGACCTTGACCTTCGGCAAGCAATTCGACCGGAGCCTTGAAGGGGTGCAGCTTCCTAGCGGCCTTCAGACCTTGACCTTCGGCCACAGCTTCAACCAGAGCTTGGAAAGGGTGCAGCTTCCCAGCGGCTTGCAGACCTTGAGCTTCGGCTACTACTTCAACCGGAGCTTGGAAGGGGTTCGGCTTCCCGGCGGCTTGCGAACATTGACCCTCGGCAACAGCTTCAACCAGAGCTTGGAAGGGGTCCAGCTTCCCAACAGCTTGCAGGCCTTGGCCTTTGGGCATCGTTTCAACAAAAGCTTGGAAAGGGTTCAGCTTCCCAGTGGCCTGCAGATCTTGAACTTGGGCATATGCTTTAACCCGATCTCGGAAGGGGTGCAGCTTCCCAGCGGCCTACAAACATTGATCTTCGGCAGTAACTTCAACAATCTGAGCTTGGACGGGGTCCAGCTTCCCAGCGGCTTGCAGACCTTGACCTTCGGCGGGGGTTTCAACCAGAGCTTGGAAGGGCTGCAGCTTCCCAGTGGCTTGCAAGTCTTGACATTGGGCATGGCCTTCGACCAGCGCTTGGAAGGGGTGCAGCTTCCCAGCGGCTTGCAGACCTTGACCTTCGGCGCGGGCTTCGACCAGAGCTTGGAAGGGGTGCAGCTTCCCAGCGGCCTACAGACCATGAACCTCGGCGGCTTCGACCAAAGCTTGGAAGCGGTGCAGCTTCCCAGCGGCCTGCACACCTTAACCTTCGGCGCACACTTCAACCAGAGTTTGGAAGGGGTGCAGCTTCCCAGCGGCCTGCAGACCTTGACCTTCGGCAGTAACTTCAACCAGAGCTTGGAAGGGCTCCAGCTTCCCAGCTGCTTGCAGACCTTGACTTTTGGGTATGGTTTCAACAAGAGCTTGGAACGAGTGCAGCTTCCCAGTGCCCTACAGACCTTAACCTTCGGCGTAGAGTTTAACCAGAGTTTGGAAGGGGTGCAGCTTCCCAGTGGCCTGCAGACCTTGACCTTCGGCGCGGGCTTCGACCAGAGCTTGGAAGGGGTGCAGCTTCCCAGCGGCCTACAGACCTTGACCTTCGGCGGAATGTTTAACCGGAGCTTGCAAGGGGTGCAGCTTCCCAGCGGCCTACAGACCTTGACCTTCGGCGAGCGCTTCGAACAGAGCTTGGAAGAGGTGCAGCTTCCCAGCTCCTTAGTGCGTTTCTCCTCGCGAGTTTTTCAGGTCGACACCTGTTAAACTCTGAGGTCGTGGATGACAAAGGAGATTGGTCATATGCGCCCCCGTCACATGTTTAGGGGCGTACTGGGCCTTTGTAAATTGTTCCCTAACGTTGTGGGACCCAATGGGCGGTGGGTATGTGTCCGTCGCTTGACAAGCTGCTTGACTAGTGAATGCCTTGCCTCAAGATGCTGAACCCTAAATCCTCAACCCTACACTCTCAACTTTAAGCCCTAAACTCCCTAAACTCCCTAAACTCCCTAAACTCCCTAAACTCCCTAAACTCCAAAAACCCTCAACCCTAAACCCTAAACCCTCAACCTAAAACCCTAAACCCTAAACTCCCTGAACCCTAAAGGCGCTAACGGGTTGAAGGGCCCGAAGTTGCCACCAGACGCCCTGACTCCTAAGCACCCTCACGCTCCGAAACCTCCGGAAATCTGTGGGCCTACAAACCCAGGGTTTAGGGTTTAGGGTTTAGGGTTTAGGGCCTTACATTTACCCCAAACCCTAAAAACCATTAATCCTATAGAAGCCCTAAATCCTATATGCTCTAAACCCAAAACAAACCCCTAAACCCTATTTTGCTGTCAAAAAAACCCTATACAAGGCCCTGGACCCTAAAACCCTAAACCCCACAACACCAAACGGTGCAAGTTCGGGTCGTTTCTACGCTCCATCTTCTGTGGTCAGGCGGCAGACTGCCAAAACTCCACACTTGGAGGTTCAGGTACTTGTTAACCAATACTACACCTGTACTTATAACCCACCTGTTAAGCCCCTTAAGTGCCCCAATATGGTTATAAGTACAGTTTTTGGTACAGCTACCCTAAACCCTAAACCCTAAACCCTAAACCCTAAACCCTAAACCCTAAACCCTAAACCCTAAACCCTAAACCCTAAACCCTTGATAATTGGCTTATGAGTACAGTTAGAGTTGGTTAATAAGTACCATGAACTTCCAAGCAAACATACATGCATGTACTTAACAAGGACCCCAGAGTTGGCCCTGAGTTCCCTTTTGTTAGGGCTTAGGGCTTAGGGCTTAGGGTTTAGGGTTTAGGGTTTAGGTTTTAGGGTTTAGGGTATAGGGTTGGTTCCCGTAGAAGCCCCTTTAAACCAGAAAAGGGTACCCTTTTTGTTCCTGGGATCCTCTTGGGTCTAGTTAAAAATACGATGTTAATATGCATAGAAGACTACTTATTTATGGTGAAACTGTCTAGCTGTATCATGAAGCCTAAACCCTAAACCCTAAACCCTAAACCCGAAACCCGAAACCCGAAACCCGAAACCCTAAACCAACCCTAAACCCTAAACCCTAAACCCTAAACCTTAAACCCTAAACCCTAAACCCTAAACCCTAAACCCTAAACCCTAAACCCTAAACCCTAAACCCTAAACCCTAAACCCTAAGCCCTAAGCCCTAACCCTGAACCCTAAACCCTAAACCCTAAACCCCTCCCAAACAGTTGCTTGCAGCGCAGGCCGTCTGGGTCGCTCCGGCCAACGCCACGGGCGTTCTCCTCTTCTTGGCGGGATACATCGAGTCCCGACCAGCGTTTACAGTTGAAAGCCCAGAGGTTCCGGGTTTAGGGTTTAGGGTTTAGGGTTTAGGGTTTAGGGTGTCCTAAAACCCTCAACCACACCCTACTACCTGGACCTGAACTCCTGAGCCCTAAGTGGAGGATTTAGGGTTTAGCCCTGAAGCCTCGTGTCCTGCAACTCAACTGTGCCCAGCAGACTCATCAAAACCCTAAGAAGCCCTTAGGGTTTAGGGTTTGGGGTTTGGGGTTTAGGGTTTAGGATTATCCGGGTCTAAGCAGCTCACATTCCCCAACCAACCCTCCGCGGTTCGTCAAGGAGAGCGCCAGCTACGGCGGCAAGATGCACGGCAGCAAGAAAGAATGTACACCCTAAACCCTAAACCCTAAACCCGAAACCCTAAACCCTAAACCCCAACCCAAACCCCAAACCCTAAACCCCAATCCCTAAACCCTAAACCTTAAACACCCCTAAGCCCTAGAACCTAAACCCCAAACCTTAAACCCCTAAACCCCCAGTGGTTTGGATTCTGGGCTTAGATGCCTTGCCCGGCTTGAGGCTCCCAAGCCCTCCCTAAACCTTAAACCCCCCAACCCCCCAAAACCCAAAACCCCCAATCCCTAAACCCTAAACCCTAAACCCTAAACCCTAAACCCTAAACCCTAAACCCTAAGCCCTAAGCCCTAAACCCTAAACCCTAAACCCTAAACCCTAAACCCTAAACCCTAAACCCTAAGCCCTAAGCCCTAAACCCTAAACCCTAAACCCTAAACCCTAGCGGAAGCCATTCGTCCTAACAAGCTGCACTGGACCTGAGAGCAAAGGCCTCTGGCACCTCAGGGTCCTCTGTTCCTGATAACGGGTACCTGGCAGCGGTTTAGGGTTTAGGGTTTAGGGTTTAGGATTTAGGGTTTAGGGTTTAGGGCTTGGGGTTTAGGGTTCAGGGTTTAGGGTTTAGGGACATACCCTGCAAGCCCTGGACCATACCCGACGCCGAAGTGAGCTCTCCAGGATCACGATGCTCGACATGTTCGAGGGCGAGGGCGCCAACCGCGCACCGGGCGACCTGCCCCCTGGTTGCCAGTGGGCCTTTTTCCTTTTTCCTTTTTTTCCTTCGGGGGGGGGGGGGGGCTTTACTTGGCTAAGGGTTTAGGTTCCCTTGCAATCCTCTTTACACCAAAAAGGGTACCCTTTTTTATATCTAGGTTACTCTTGGGTCTAGCTGTGTGTTGCGACGCCTTTGTATTGATTCTGTGCAGCCATGGCCGTTCGCAACCAGGAGTATGTCCTCGACAGGCTCACCCGCCTTGAAAGGCACGCCCATTGGCACATGAACTACCAGACGTTGAAATCGAGCTGGTTTTCTCCTATACAGCCAGGCAGGACCCAGGATGTGTTCACAAGCAGCAGGTGGAGGAGCACCACGATTTGTATCATGCGTGCCAGAACGCAGGGCTGGTTCCCGAGTTGGGCTGAACCCAAAACCCTTTGGGTGTTTGAGGTTCGTGAATTTTGGATTTAAGAGGGTTATGGACCCTTACTTTAGTCATGGACCCCCGAAAGGCCTCATAATCAGGGATTCAGGGCTTAGGGTTTTTGGGGCAGGATGTAGGGCTAGGAACTGTGATTCCAGGACCCTAAGCCTTGAACCTCAAACCCCAAACGCTAAACCTTAACTGGGATTTGGAGTGCTATACTTTAATACATTTTTTTGGTTTTGGGTTCCTATTCTTGCTACTTAAAACCGAAGAAGTACACTTTTCTCCAGGGTTTACTCCAAAGTAGGGTTAAGCAATTAACCCTACACTGACAGCGTTGCACCCAGAACCTTCTCTTTGCCCTCCTGCAATCTCTCTGCTTCGTAGCCCGGTGATGCCCTTTTGCACCCAATTCAAGGTTCCCTAAATCCTAAACCCTAAACCCTAAACCCTAAACCCTAAACCCTAAACCCTAAACCCTAAACCCTAAACCCTAAACCCTAAACCCTAAACCCTAAACCCTAAACCCTAAACCCTAAAACCCTAAGCCCTCAACCCTAAACCCTAAACCCTAAACCCTAAACCCTAAAACCCTAAACCCTAAACCCTAAACCCTAAACCCTAAACCCTGAACCCTAAACCCTAAACCCTAAGCCCTAAACCCTAAACCTTAAACCCTAAACCCTAAACCCTAGCTTGGCTACCGGGCCACCAAGTCTGCCTGCTTAGGGACTTCGGGAAGCGCTTCCTTCCCACTGACAAGGCCAAAGCTGAGGACCTGGCACTGAAGGACTCGGAGGGTTCGGGCCTTTAGTTATTAATTTTTTTATTATCTTTATTATTTTTTTGAGGGGGGGGGGGGTGGAGGGTTTAGGGTTCAGGGTTCAGGGTTTGGGGTTTGGGGTTTGGGTTCTTTTTGTTGGGTTTCGGCAGTGTAGAGTTCAGGCAACTCCCCCCTCCCCCCCCCCCCTCCCCCCCTCCCCTTCCCCCTCTTCCCCCCCGCTTCCCCCCACACCCCCCCCGCCGCCTTCCCCCTCCTTCCTCCCCTTCCGGCCTTCCGGTTTGTCTGGTGTTGTTGGTCTTGATAAATCTTGCAAGACCCTCTTTTGCGTATCCTGGGAACGGGCATTCCTTGATAGCAAGTCTTCGCGCCAGCCTGCATTGCGGTTGTAGCTGCGCCGCCCTGGCCCACCTGCTCGAAAGTGTCAACTGCACACACGCCCACATGCTGCCTCTTGCAGGTTTTTTGGAGTATAGGTTTTGTTGCTCAGGGCTTAGGGTTGTGTAGGTCATGCATGATCGCGCTTCCCGGTTCCTCTTGATCTACACCTTAATTTGCAACCTGAACCCAAAACGCAAACCTCATTCCAATACATCGCGTGCGCAAGCCCTTTATCCGTTTGATGCCGCGGGTCAGCACCCTTCAGGCGGACGTGCGTCTCGACCGCATACATAGATGTAAATGGCGCATCCAAGGGGCCACAAGGCTGGCCATGGGGTTGGAACTGCAAAAGGGTCTTGTACAATGCTTTCCCCTAAGACCATATTAGAGTATTTTTGTCTGAATTGCCCAAGACGTCGTAACCCGAAATTTTTTCGAAATTTGAAGGGTTTTGCCAGGCAAGAAAACACAGCAAAATAAGCTAAACCACATTATTTTTTCGGCCCAAATATGAGATATTATCTTTTTTTGCGTCCTAACTATATCTTATTTTCGGCTCGCGTATCTTATTTTCGTGTATTGAAAAGGCCAAAAGAAAGATAATAGCTAGACAAACGAATCATATTTTTGCCTTTGAGACAAAAAGCGTCTAAGATAGTCTTAGCAGTTTATCTGTTAAACAAGGTTTGTTCGAGCTGGCCGATTGCCACCTGGCTGCATGCATTACGTTCTGCGTTTAAGCCTGAAGAACTCGAGAGCGGCCTGCTTGCGAGAGGTGAACCAACGCGCGCCGCAAAACGAGTGGCAGGAGCGTATGAAGGAGTTGTACGACTACCTGCAGGACATGAGCTGGGACTCTTATTTGAAGGTCTATTCCGCCCAGCTCTTGAGAAAGCTGCGGCGCTATTCGGCCGTCTGAACGTAATTCGTCGTGCGCGCAAACGCCACGCGCGACGGTGTGTCACCGGCAAACGACCGCGCCCGGCAGCATTCCGAGGCGACTGGGATTAAAAGTAAGAGCACGCAGATCAGGGTTTGGCGACTCAGTTTTGGGATCGGCTTATTTGGCGAGTGCAAGGCGTAAAGTTCATAGACGATATGATTTCGTGAGTGAGGCTTAGCAAGTACAGTAACTACAGTCTGTATATGTCTGTATAGGGTCGGAGTAAGGCGTGTCGTGTTTCATGGTCGTGCTGTCCTGATCCAAAGCTGCTTATCGATGACGATGATGTGGCATTTTTGATTCTTCTCTGCCATAAGTTTGCTCAGCTCGTGGATTCTTGGTTACAGCACCGATTCGGTCATCTCGTGCAAGCCTCAGCATTCTATAGTCACGAATCTGCTCATGTGGTGAGACCTGATGCGAATGCACAGATGTTACACTCACTGAGGCGCTCTTCACGGCGCGGCAGGCCTGGAACTCGCCGGGCCTTCAGTGAGCGCTGCGGATCGCGAGACTTGCAGTCCGGAAGCGCAAATGTAAGGTGCTCGCAGAAGCTCTAGCCTTGGCGGCGTCGCGGCGCGCCGGTCGAGGAAGTTCAGGCAACGGCCTGTGTGACTGTCTCAGGTTCGCTTCTAATGGGGCGCTTACGCTTCGTGCACACATCTGCGGGCGCAACTCCTCTCGGCATGCCGGAGCGCGCGGAGCGTGAATCAGGTTACAGTCTTAGTTCTCAGGAGCTGTGCCGCAGCATGGGGAACGAGCCCCTGGAGAACAGGCTGAAGAAGGTGGAGGAGCGCGAGGAGATGGAGCTCTCCATTGGTTTTGCCAGTATGAAGGCTGCGATCGAAGCTGCCGAAGCCGCTTCTTCTCGATCTGAGGCCGTGTGTGGCGAGGCGCTGCGTCCTATCATCTCTGTTGCGTGGCCAAAGGCGCCCTTCGTCCGTCGAGTTCTAGCTCGCTGTACCAGTTTCTTTGGTCACGAGGTAGCGGGGATTTCTATATCGCCGAACACATCGGACAAGCACATGTTCCCTCAAAGCCCTCAAAACCCTAAAGCCCTAAAGACCCGAAAAGCCCTAAAACGCCTAAAAGCCCTAAACCCTAAAGCTTAAAGCCTAAACCCTAAACCCTAAAGCCTAAACCCTAAAGCCTAAACCCTAAACCCTAAACCCCAAACCCTTTTCCCTTTTCCCTAAACCCTAACCCTTAACCCTAAACCCGAAACCCTAAACCCTAAACCCTAAGGAATTCTGTTTCAGAGTGTGCTCTTTCTTTTTTGGGGTTTCGGGGTCGGGGGCTTAGGGCTTCCATCCTGGCAGGGCTCCTGCTAGTTGAAGCCCTGAACCCTAAACCCAAAACCCTAAACCCTAAAAATCCTGAAGCAACCCTAAACAACTCTAAAAACCATTCAAACCCTAAAAAACCTTTAAAACCCTAAACAACCCTAAACAACAATAAACAACACTAAAACACACTAAAAAACCCTAAGCCCTATACCCTACACCCCCTGAAACCAGTGCGCAGGAGCTCACCAATGGCCGCTTGGCAATGCTGGCTTTCTCAGGCAAGCATTGGGGTCTTTGATAGGCCTTAGGGCATCGGGTTTAGGGTTTAGGGTTTAGGGTTTAGGGTATAGGGCTTCTAGGACCCAGCGTACGCCCCTATTCCCTTTTTTTGGGGATTCGCTACCCTCACAACCCCCTTTGAAGCCAAAACGGGCACCTGTTTTGATTTTTAGGTTTCTGAATTCTAGTGCTTTAGGGTTTGGTGCAGTAAGGCTTCGGCCTTAGGGTTTAGGGATTAGGGATTCGGCTTGGGGATTTAGAGGGCTTGGGGCGTTCTTCACAGGGGCTTTGCGTAGGCTGATCATTTCCAGGTGGTAGCCCATGGTTGCGGGCATGCATGGGAACTTTACGGGTCCCCGTGGTTGTCAACGTCGCCAAAAATCTGAACCCGACGTTTGGGGTCTAGGGCTTCGGGCTTCGTGTGTTTCAGGGTTTTCGGGTGTCCGAAACTCGGGACCCTAAACCCCTGCGTGTCACACCACAAAACCAGATCCCCCAACCCTAAACCCTAAACCTAATCCCTAAACCCTAAACCCGAGCCCTAAACCCCAAACCCTAAACCCTAAACCCTAAACCCTAAGCCCTAAGCCCTAAGCCCTAAACCCCAAACCCTACACCCTAAACCCTAAACCCCAAACCCCAAACCCTAAACCCTAAACCCTAAACCCTAAACCCTGAACCCTAAACCCTAAACCCTAAACCCTAAACCCTAAACCCTAAACCCTAAACCTGAGCGGGAGGCATGGTCCACCACAACCTGATCGTGAAGGGCCCGCTTTTCCCGCTGTTCCCGGAGGGCTACACGGGGCCGCAGGCTTTTTGCTTGGGGTTTAGGAGTTAGGGTCGGGGGTTTAGGGTTTAGGTTTAGGGTTTAGGGTTTAGGGTTCAGGGGGCATTTTTCTTGAATCAGGACTTTGCGGGCTCTAGGTTAACTTTCCGGTGGTTAGGGTTTAGGGCACGGTATGGGTTAAGACTTGAAGCGTCGAAGCCCAAAACCCTAAGCCCCTAAACCCTTAAACTCCTCAACCGCAAGAGGGGGTTGAAGTGACCTGACTGGGCACAAGGGCCGAAACTGATGGCCGCACCCCGGCGCAAAACCGCCGACCCTGCTAAGTGAGCACGGGGGGTTTAGGGTTTAGGGTTTAGGGTTTGGGGCTCAGGGTTTAGGGTTGGGGCTTCAGAAACCCTTCAAAATCCCCAAGTCCTGCAAACCTCAGTCCCCAAACAACACAGCCCTAGCACCCTATTTCTTCGTATTGCATAGTCCGTTACCACTTGGTGTTGAACATAGAGACTAAACCCTAAACCCTAAACCCTAAACCCTAAACCCTAAACCCTAAACCCTAAACCCTAAACCCTAAACCCTAAACCCTAAACCCTAACCCTAAAAACCCTAAACCCTAAACCCTAAACCCTAACCCCTAAACCCTAAACCCTAAACCCTAAACCCTAAACCCTAAACCCTAAACCCTAAACCCTAAACCCTAAACCCTAAACCCTAAACCCTAAACCCTAAACCCTAAACCCTAAACCCTAAACCCTAAACCCTAAACCTTAAGCCCCTTGAAACCCCAAACCCTAAACCCTAAACCCTAAACCCTAAACCCTAAACCCTAAACCCTAAACCCTAAACCCTGACCCCTAAACCCTGAACGCAATAAACCCTAAAACCGCAAGTCTCATGAAAAAGGCGAAGGTTGGAACCATCGGGCCATGGTCCCTTACCCTTGTTTAGAGGTATTTAAAAGGATCCGAAGTATGGGCCCACATTCTGTGTAGTGCATATAAGGGTTAGACAGCAGGGGACCCAAACTTTCGGGTCTATACTTCGGACCCTAGAGATAGCCCTTGGAGCAAACCTTACGCCAGTTCCGGGTGGCGGGTGTCGCGCTACAGATCCTAAAAAAACAGCCCCACGGGCCCTGAAGGGCGCTTGGGACCTCGACAGCACGGCGGGTGCGCTGCCCCTCGGCCTCCAAACTAGCATCGGGTTTAGGGTTTAGGGTTTCAAGGGGCTTAGGGTTTAGGGTTTAGGGTTCAGGGTTCAGGGTTTAGTTTTGTGTTTAGGGCTTAGGGAAGTCCTGGGCTCTCCCCCCTCCCCTTCCCGCCCCAACAGCACGCCAGAGTAGTTCTCAACATTCTCCTGATGGCATGCTGGCACGAGGGTATGTTCGGAAAACCCTCAGTGCCCTGAACGCACAGCTTCCGCGGCCGGTTTAGGGTTTAGGGTTTAGGGTTCAGGGTTTAGGGTTTAGGGTTTAGGGTTTAGGGTTTAAGGTTTAGGGCCACATTGCAATAAGGGTTTAGGGTTTAGGGTTTAGGGTTTAGGGTTTAGGGTTTAGGGTTTAGGGTGGGGGTTTGGCTACTCTTTCAGGGAGCCTTTGGACCAAGGCAAGGGAAAAGAGGGTGCCACTGATAGAATATTTCCGAGACGTTTGTGTACTTTATGTTAGCCGCGATGGTGGTGGCAATGATGATGATGATGAAGAAGAAGAAGAAAAAGTCGATGATGATGTTGGTGATGCTGGTGATGAGGATGATTATGCCGATGATGACGATCAGTGAGATGTACGGTTGCATCTGTTTCTGTTGTGGTGGCTGTTTTTTGATTCCTCACCCTAAACCCCAAAGTTTGGCACCGAGCCAGAGCTCAGGAACAGTGGCCGCTGGGGTCTCTAAGTTCGGCCGCGCCCTTGGTCAAATCTGTCGGTTGAGGTCGGTTTTGATGTTTCTAGGCATAAAGGGTTCGGGGTTCAGGGCACTTAACCCCTAAACCCCCAAACCTTGCCTAGCGGGCTGAGGCCACGGATGTTTCGGGAGTTTTGGCGCTTTTTCCTGCTTCAGCCGGTCCTTTTTTTGGCTTGAGACTACATAGACCCCCACTCCCCCGGGTGCAGGGTTTAGGGTTCGGGTTGAGGGTTTAGGGTTTAATGTTGCACTCTCTTTAGCGTGGTGGGCTCTCTCCCTCCCCCCCAGCCAGAAACAGTCGAAGCTGGTTTTCGCCCTGTTTATAGGGTCCACGGGGTATATTATGATTTACTAGGGAGGTTTTTCTTCAAAGCTTAAAAGGGACAGGGTGTCCTGAATAGCCTAGCCAACTTGAGTATAGAGGGGCCCCTACTAAAGCAGGTGCAACATGAGGGTTTAGGGTTTAGGGTTTAGGGTTTAGCGCTCAGGGTTCAGGGCTTACCTAAACCCTATCCTTGTGAAATTCAGGGTTTGGGGTTTAGGGTTAAGGGCTTGGGGTTTAGGGTGCAGCAGAATGAGTACGAGTCAGAGTTCATGCTATTTCTCCAGAGCGGAACGGGTGGATTGCTCAGCACACTGGTCACAGTGAGTTCGGAGTGGCACAAGAAGACTCAGGAATGCTGGGGCCCGCAGCGCCAGCCATTGAGAATGGTCATGAGTGCGTGTCTCTTCGTGGAACTGGGCAACAGACTGCGCAGAACCATGACGCAGGAGGAAGATGGCCAGAACATCCGCAAGAGCCTCGCAGCCAAAGGACTCCTGAGCCCCGAGGGCAATTGGACCTACCAACGATGGCATCCGGGACTCAAGAAGCTCGAGCAAGTGCCGGACAGAATGCCTATTTCTATATTATATCTTTAAAATATATCAATATATATATATATATATACATATATATTAATATTAGAAGGAAGATAAATGCATACCGTCAGAGTCTGCCATGGAGAATGACGAGAGTGATAAGGGGTCATACGGATTTCGTGGATGGATTGCTAAGAAGGGTCGAGTCCCTGCTCTGCGAAAACGGTTTGGGGCAGGGGATTTAGGGGTTTAGGGTGTAGGGCTTAGGATTTAGGGCTTAGGGTCCTTTTGGTTTGGGGGTTAGGGTTGAGACGCGCGCAACCAGATTCCTGCAGAGGACCGCTGACTCACATCCCTGAAGCCTACAACCCTAAAACCCAAAAACCCTAAACCCCAAACCCCAAACAGACAGCCCAGGTGTCGGCCGATCTTTTTGAGATGCGAGTCGGGCCGGCTCAAGGTGCGCTCTTTGTGTACTTCAAGAGCGGCTTTTGGTGTTTGGGGTTTAGGGTTGAGGGTTTAGGGTTTCGGGTTTCGGGTTTGGGGTTTAGGGTTTTAGGGTTTAGGGATTAGGGTTTGGGTTTAGGGTTCAGGGTAACTCTCGAACCCCCAAACGCCCCAACAGAAAGCCTTCGCGCCCTTAGACTTTCGTTTGTGAGGCGCCGGTTTTGGGATGCAGGTTGTTGCTCCACCCGAAGAACACCTTTATACCCTGCTAGTTTCTTGCAAAGCTCCTTCGGGGCATTGGGGTTATTTAGGGTTACTGAGGGTTATTCCCTAAACCCTAAACCCTAAACCCTAAACCCTAAACCCTAAACCCTAAACCCTAAACCCTAAACCCTAAACCCTAAACCCTAAACCCTAAACCCTAAACCCTAAACCCTAAACCCTAAACCCTAAACCCTAAACCCTAAACCCTAAACCCTAAACCCTAAACCCTAAACCCTAAACCCTAAACCCTAAACCCTAAACCCTAAACCCTAGAGCCCTGAACATGCAGGGATGCATCTCTCCCGATCAAGGCCGGATGCGAGGGCTTGCGACGCATTGCGGCCGGATCTTTGATGAAAGAAGCGCGTGCTCTTTAGGCTGTAGGGTTTGGGGTTTAGGGTTTGGGGTTTAGGGTTTGGGGTTTAGGGTTTGGGGTTTAGGGTTTGGGGTTAGGGTTTGGGGTTTAGGGCTGAGGGTTTTAGGGTTCTTAAGGGAGGGGGGGTTCAAGGGGGGTATGTAAGCCAAGACTCCTTAATGCTCCCTACTACTCCCGAAGGCTCCCTAAGCTTCCCGAAGGTTCCCTAGGTACCTACCCCCTGTGAACCCCCCCCCTCCCTTAAGAACCCTATAAAGATTTCGGGTTTGGAGTACATCAGGTGGGGTTTGGGGTTTAGGGCTTCGGGTTTAGGTTGGGGGATGCTCCCCCTTATACTAACAGTCCTTAATCAAACTTATTAAAACCCTAAACCCTAAACCCTAAACCCTAAACCCTAAACCCTAAACCCTAAACCCTAAACCCTAAACCCATTAAATGATCCCTATTACAGACTTCTTCGGCCTCTGGGGTTAGGGGCAGCTCTCGGGCCATGCTACGGTTCTTCTCTCTCTCTCTCTCCCTCTCTCCCTCCTCCTCCTCCTCCTCCTCTAAGGATTTGTTTAGGGTTTAGGGTTTAGGGTTTAGGGTTTAGGGTTTAGGGTTTAGGGTTTAGGGTTTAGGGTTTAGGGTTTAGGGTTTAGGGTTTAGGGTTTAGGGCTTAGGGCTTAGGGTGTATTTTTGCGGTTTGATCCTTCAGCCTTCGGGCCGACCGGGCTCTGTCCTGGTCGCACTCCACTCCACTAAAGACTGCTAGCATAACGGAGGGTTTAGGGTTTAGGGTTTAGGGTTTAGGGTTTAGGGTTTAGGGTTTAGGGTTTAGGGTTTAGGGTTTAGGGTCTTTTTTGCTGTTGTTGCTGGGTGAAAGGCTTTGCAAAGAGTGTTGGTGCGCGCCCCCCACCCTCCTCGCGCCACCCCAAACAGAGCATCAGTTTAGAGAATTCCCCGATGTACCCCCCCAGAGTCCCAGGCCTCAGGTTTTAGGGTTTTCGAGTTCTAAGTGGACCTTATTCCCGTTTGTATTGGCTTACGTAGGTTCCCTTAGAGAGAAGTTTAGGGTTTAGGATCTAGGGTTTACCACCCTAACAACGCCTTCTATCCTAAACACTCGTAGAACAACGCCCTACCCACCTGTAGCTGATGTGGGAAGGAGTTCCAAAATCCTGGCGCTTCTTGAAGGGCTTGAGTGATTCCCTCAGTAGGCCCTTTGGGGGACATTTCGTACTTTCCGCCTTTCATTGGGTTTAAGAGTATCAGAATTCAGGAATCTTTTTCGGGGTTTTAAGGGCCATCCTCGATCCCTAAACCTTAAACCCTAAACCCTAAACCCTAAACCCTGAACCCTGAACCCTGAACCCTGAACCCTGAACCCTGAACCCTGAACCCTAAACCCTAAACCCTAAACCCTAAACCCTAAACCCTAAACCCTAAACCCTAAACCCTAAACCCTAAACCCTGAACCCTAAACCCTAAAGACGCCAAGCGGGGCCCGCAGCTTGGAATTTTCGAAAACCGCGCCGGCCTCCGCCTCTGTTTTTGGCTCCGGAAGGGTTCTGAAGAACACCGGCAGAGACGCCCCGGGTTGGCGGTGAGGGTTGGAGGTTTAGGGTTTAGGGTTTAGGGCTTAGGGTTTTGAGGGGTTTCGGGAGGCTGTACTTGGGAGCCCTCGCAGAGAAGAGATTTTTAGGGTTGAGGGTTTAGGGTTTAGGGTTGAGGGCTTAGGGTTTTAAGGTTTTGGGAGCCCAGGAATCCTCTGACTCCTCGTAGAGAGCTCAGGGTTCTCAGCCGCACCTTCGGGGCTTGGCCTTGCGGAGATCTTTTTTTTCCCGGCCCGCGCTGTACCCCGGAGGGGATCAAGGCGCGCGACGCGGGTGAGGGTTGGAGGTTTAGGGTTTAGGGTTTGGGGTTTAGGGTTTAGTCAAGTTAAGGGCCAAGGGTTTAGTCAAGTTAAGGGCCAAGGGTTTAGGCTTTCGGGCCTTTGGGGCTTCAGGCTGAGTTTTGGGCTTGGGCCCTAGGCTCAACGAAACCCTAAGCCCCCTGAGGGGCGTACCCTGGGACCCTTAAGGTAGCCAGAAGCCCGATCCTTGAAAGAAAGGGTCTGTATGCCATCTGAGGGCTTGAGGTTCCCAGAGACTCCAAAACCCCTTAATTTTAAGGAATATACCTTAAATCATATTAGAGTTCCTATTCTAATTTGGGGTATATTCCTTAATTAAGGGGTATTTGGGGTATATTCCTTAGTTTAGGGGTTTTGGAGTCTCTGGGTTCAGGGTCTAGGCTGACAGGCTGTTGGGCCAAGCCGAGGAACCCAATTCCAAGTATGTCGCGCTGCGTTGCGGGTTGACCCTTTTAGGGATTACGGTTTAGGGTTTAGGGTTTGGGGTTTAGGGTTTAGGGTTTATAGGGTTTAGGGTTTAGGGTTTAGGGTACGCTTTCTTTCGTTTATGGTTTCCCTTATAAAATAGCCAACCCAAAAAAAGGGTGCCCTCATCATAATATGGCTACTGGGCTAGCAAGGGACAGGATTGTCAGGAGGGGAAGCAGGGGGTCGATCGGGAACGTCTCACGCTCGTCTCCGCAAAACCAAGAAAAGCTCAAACCCCGAGACTCAAAAACCTCGCGCTGAACCCTAAACCCTAAACCCTAAACCCTAAACCCTAGACCCTAGACCCTAAACCCTAAACCCTAAACCCAAGACCTCAGCCCTAAGCCCTAAGCCCTAAGCCCTAAGCCCTAAGCCTTAAGCCCTAAGCCCTAAACCCTAAGCCCTAAGCCCTACGCCCTAAGCCCTAAGCCCTAAGCCCTAAGCCCTAAGCCCTAAGCCCTAAGCCCTAACCCTTAACCCTAAACCCTAAACCATAGCATGTGCAAAGCCAGCTTGTCTGCGCAGGGCGGCATGGCGAAAATCGCGCCATATTCTGAGGCCACTTGGGTCTCCTTGGTGCTCGGGCTTCGGGTTTAAGAAGGGTTTAAGGGTTTGGGTGTTTGGGGTTAGGGTTGGGGGGTATCTTTGGAGTGACCAGAGGCGGGGGTGGGGCGTGGGGTG